GTCGAAAAGCAGAGAAAATTTTTAAATTTTTTGTAACTTTATTGACAACAAAACCTCCCTAAGCCGTTCTTGTAAAAAAATATTGGTTAAGTTTGATGAAATATCTCCTAGCAAACACTTTTCATAGGACACCTTTGTTATACCCTTGTTATACTCTTTACATGATACTTTCAAGTGTTCGAATACTTATTAATTTTATATCGAATTATATATATTTATATAAAAATCAAGAAGAAGAATATAAAAGTATTATAAATGAATGCTCAAGATCATTTCCATTCCCTCTAGGGGCATTTTTGGTTTCTTATTTTATTTATTTTTCTCCCTAGGCTGGTTGTTATTATTTCCCTTTCACAAACTACCCTTCTGTTAATTTTTTTAAAAAAACAAAATCCTATTTAAAAAACCTTTCCTTCTTTCTTGTTTTTTTACCCAACATAATTTTTATTATAGTTATTTTTTTTTGCTATCATATTTAAATATGGTTGTTGTCTTTCTTATGAGAAGTATTAAATTTGTGTGTTATATTTTGTTAGCAAAAAGATCGGAGCACTCACAATTTTAATATCCTGGATCCACCACTGGTTTTTCTCAAGTAAGGCACAAGTTTCTTTAGGAGTTTGCCCGGTTGTTTTGTGTATGTTCGATAGAATTTAATAGTATAAATATATTTTTTAACTTAGCATCAGTTCATATTTATATCTTTCAATTTTGAATGTGTATAATTCATGACATTTAAATTTATATAAAATTAATTAAAAAGGCTTATGTGTCTTGTGTGACACCATTCGCACAAGACACCATGTAAAATGCTTCATATATATATACAAATTTTAATATTTATTTATGTACATCATGATTAAAAATTCCGACTCTAAATCTATCTGAGGAGATGGGACAAGCCTTTAATGAGTTGATTGCAACACTTGTCTGGATAGTAACGCGTGAGTAGATCATAATTAACTTTTATTTCCCAAGAACATCATTATTGAACATACTATCTACAAATCAAAAGAAGGGTTTGTACGTATGGAGATTTTTTTTTCTTTTTGGAGTGGGGGTGGCCGGGTTGGGGGTGAAGCATATGTTGATTTACTATCAGTTAAGTGAAATTATTTTAATCTTAATAATATTAATATATTATATGATTACTGATTTAGTATTAGCTAAGCGAAAATTAATAGCCTTGAGGATGGGTACGAATGGGGGTATGCACGATAGCTTTTTTTGAGAAAATCTATATTTTTTTTGAATTACTTTGGCTTAGAATATAAACGTGTAACTATTTTGAATCTTATAATTTATTTATGTAATTTTTTCTTATTTTATGTAGCTGGTATACATAAATTATATCTTCATAATGCATGATCATTAACATTATACTTGAACGATACATATTATACGTTTCTCAAATATTTTTAGTTTAATTAGTTGAATAGACGACTATCTAAGCTAATTATCCTATTTCTTTCTCTTCTTTTTTTCTTTTTGGTAATTCTAAATGATATCATTAAGAATAAAATGACAAGGATAACATTGTCCCTCTCTAATTATCAGAGTCCGGAGCCTAGAGGTATAAAATATAAATGAAAATTTCAAAATGATATATAAAATTTTATATTAACCAAAACGGTAAAATTGAAGGAATAATAGCGATTTACTCCACCATAAAAAGCAGCAGCAATTTTGCAAAATGTGATTTTTTTAATTAAAAAATTCAAATCGCTACTTAGGCAGCGTTTTTCATTTTTTTAAAAAAAATAAATTAAAGACAGCGATTTTCAATTTTATTTTTTTAAAAAAAATGTAAATCGCTGCAGAGGCAGCTTTTTAAACAATTTTTTTTTTTTAAAAAAATTGAAAATCGCTGCTTCTAAAAAGAAAATGAATAAAAAAATATTGAAAATCGCTGCCAAGGTAGTGATTTGATTTTTTTTTTTAAAAAAAAATTCATATTTTGCAAAATCGCTGCAGTAGCAGCGATTTTACTTTTTTTGGTGGAGTAAATCGCTGTTGTTCCAGCGATTTTGCCGTTTTGATTAATATAAAATTTTATATACCGTTTTAAAATTTTTCTTAATATTTTATACCTTTTACGTACCGAACTCCTTATTATCATCACCAACTAACTTATTAATGGTGGATACATCTCTTCTTAGCTTTTATCAACCCAAAATCAGTCTCACTCGTTTCTTTCTTTCTTAAATTTCCTACCACTTAATTAGGGCTTGATATAAAATATATTGAAAATCAAATCAAATTACACATTTTAATAATTCGATATTTGATATTGGTATTCTAAAGTAAAATTTTAGAATTATATTATTTAGGTTTGGGTTTAGCATGAGAATTAAAGCCGTTTGGTATTTGATATTTTCCTCGATACTTAATTATTTTTTACTTAATGAATGTTGTGTATCAACAAGTGCATAACTCATTAGTACAAATCCAAAGAAAAAAAAATAAAAACTAAACATAAACAATCTAAATATATATGTTTTTTAGTTGTGTCGATTTACTTTCTATTATATCGTGTAAAAAAATAGAAATAATTGGATAGATAATATTGACTTTGTAATACTATCGGCTACAACTTCATTACGATATTACCGAATACCGTATAGAACCAAAGCTTGATTTGCCCCTTACCAAAGTAAAATTTAAAATTTTAATATTTGATATCTACTTTTAACTATCAATTACCCAATTTCCAAATAACTTAACCCAAAATTAAAAATTTTCTATTCGAATACCAAACACCTGCCCCTCCTCTTAATAAACTATTGGAGTAAAAAATGTTAAAAAGGATACATATATTTTTTATTTTTTTGTTTTTTTAACTTAAATAGTAATTTCAATTCCTACGATAGATCATAACAAACGCAATAATTCAATATGTGATTAACGTATATCTAAGTCATTGAAATATCAAGGTTAAAATTGGAATTAAAAAACACATGTTTAAATTATTAGAAAAAAATAAATATGCTTCTGAAATATCGTAAATAATATACACATATCATCCATCATACTTCGAAACATTAGTATCCCTAATATTTTTTTTTTTTGGAGGGGGGAGAGGGGAGGGGTTAGGGCCTAGGGATGGACATATGGTGTGTAAGGGGCTAAGGACAGTGTTGTGACACATGAGGCATTACATTTGTGATTTTAAAAAAATGGCATCTATACAAGTGTTGTGAATTTATCCTTTTTAGTTCATTATTAAATAATAACAACAATAGCATATTCAATACAGCCCCACAAAGTAAGATTTGAAAAGAATAAAGTTTATATAAATCTAAATTCTACCTCTGAGATAAAGTAGTTGTTTTGAAAAAATCCTCGAATCAAGATTAAAAGAGTCTAGAAAAAGAAATTAATCATGGGAAATAAAGAAAACAAACAGATAATAATATCACAACAAAATGATACTATAATCAAACTACACGAAACAACTTATAATAATAGAAATTGAAAACAAGATACTTGAGTAATGCTACAACTTCATTACGATATTACCGAATACCGTATAGAACCAAAGCTTGATTTACCCCTTACCAAAGTAAAATTTAAAATTTTAATATTTGATATCTACTTTTAACTATCAATTACCCAATTTCCAAATAACTTAACCCAAAATTAAAAATTTTCTAATCGAATACCAAACGCCTGCCCCTACTCTTAATAACTATTGGAGTAAAAAATGTTAAAAAGGATACATATATTTTTTATTTTTTTGTTTTTGTAACTTAAATAGTAATTTCAATTCCTACGCTTGAGTATAGATCACAACAAACGCAATAATTCAATATATGATTAACGCATATCTAAGTTATTGAAATATCAAGGTTAAAATTGGAATTAAGAAACACATGTTTTAAATTATTAGAAAAAATAAATATGCTCCTGAACTATCGTCAATAGTATACAGATATCATCCATCATACTTCGAAACATTAGTGTTTCTACTGTCTTTTTTCGGGGGTGGAGGGTGGGGGGCTAGGGCCTAGGGATGGACATATATATGGTGCGTAAGGGGCTAAGGACAGTGTTGTGACACATGAAGCATTGCATTTGTGATTTTAAAAATTGGTATTCATGTACAAGTGTTGTGAATTTATCCTTTTTAGTTCATTATTAAATCTTCTCCCGTTTTTCGAATAACAATAATAACATATTCAGTTTAGTCCCACAAAGTAAGATTGAAGAGAATAAAATTTGTATAAATCTAAATTCTACCCCTGAGATAAAGTAGTTGTTTTTAAAAAATCCTCAAATCAAGATTAAAAAAGTCTAGAAAAAAAAATTAATAATGGAAAATAAAGAAAACAAACAGATAATAATACTACAACAAAATGATACTATAATCAAACTACACGAAACAACTTATAATAATAGAAATTGAAAACAAGATACTTGAGTAATGCTACAACTACTAATACTTTCCTATCTAATATCATATTCTCGATAAAGTATAACTATATCATGTCATTTGTAATCACCTCTTCTTAATACTCCTCACAATGGCCAACCATCCCAAACAAGTACATACAAAAAGAGAAAATAGATAATGTGAGGGGCCTGAGGACCCTATACAACTTTAACCTCACAATAATTTTATAGATTTTTTCAAGAAACATTCCTAGGAATAGATCCTCTCTTAAAACTCAAACATTCTTCATTTTGCCTTCTTTCCAAGAACTTGTTATCTCTAGAATATCTTGATACCAAACCCCAAGCACTAATAATATGTATGGTAATAGAGGCTTCAAATTGGTAGTATATAATAAAGAAGAAAACATAGAAATGTTTATGATATATATAATAAGATATCCTAGTTTATAGTAATCCTTCCTTTGCCTATTTTTCACATTTGAATGTACAAAATATAAATAAAAAATCTTGATATACACTATTGGAGAAAAAGATGACAGAAAAAATACATGCAAAAGCATTATTTATTATATATAAAGGGCAGATGTAGCCTTTTTAACTACAGATTCATCTAAATTCATAACTTTTGATATATATTATATATACACACGTAAAAAAAAACTATTAAATCTTAATAACACAATGAGTTCATTGATGAGAATCTTTAGAATTGAATTCATTAAATTTAAACTCCAGAAACCGCCTTGAAATCATTAATCACAAATATCATTTAACATACCAAATGATCTCTTACAATGCAAAATTGCCTCAGAAATTGTATTCTCCATATCTATACAATGAGATGGACTTCTCATAGGTGAATTTCTACTATCAATTTCCAAAACTTTTCTTTCAAAATCATCAACTTTTGAACCTTTTCTTGAATTACCTAAACTCTTGCAAAACAACCAAAGAAATTTTAACCTCTTCACCAAGATTTTACCACATGATTTTCTCTGTTTTCCTCTGTTTGTAGCACAAAAGGGTGTGAGAGGAGTTGAACAAGTGTCAAAGTTACAAACTTTTTCAATCTTTGACATGTTGTCAAGATACAAAGGCATAATATGTCCATCTGAAAATATTTCATCAGCATGAACTAAAGAAAAAGTAGGATTGATATCAAAGTTGAAATTTTGTGATTCTAATTCCAAGAATCTCTTTGAAAAATTCAAGAATGTTGTATCTTGATCATCAAGAATAGTTGATTCATGAGAAGGAGTAGTTTCATTTAACAACCAACTATATGAGAAGCTCTCACTAGCAAGATACTTGAGGGTATTTTCCATATTTGGTTAATTTGTGTAATGGGAAATTTTGAGTTATGAGAAAAGATATGTGATTATATATAGTGAGGAAATGAAAGGGGGTACACTCTTTGGAATAATAATTTACATTGACCTCAAATAAAGAAATTATTTGAAAATCTACAATCTTTGAAACTTGAGATACACTAAACGAAAAACAAGATATAAAAAAAAAAAAATCCTATAAATTATAAGATCGTCTTAACCCCTAGGCAACAAAGTGATTGCTTGGGGGCAATATTTTTTTTTTTTTAAAAAAGTACTTCTATAGATTTTTAAAAATAAAAAAAATTGGACTTCCAAATTTTATATTTTATAAAATGGGTAAGAATTAAAAATTTTAAAAATAATTCATGTGGTTAGTTTTCACTTTTTTTAGGGGAATGGAGTAATTTTGGGAATAGTTTGCTTGGGTTGAAAATTGTACTCTCTTATTTATCTCCTAATAATTTGAGCCTATATTACTTTTTGTCCTATATTAATTGTAATTTTACAAAAATAGTTTCTTCACATTACTCCTTATCTTGTTAAATTAAAAAAGCATCAATTAATTTTTTGTAATATTATTCTTTTTGTTAATTTTTTTTAAAGTGTTCGTATTTGTTTGTAAAAGTTTTTAAAAAATATTTGAGAGATAAATTAGTAAAATTATCTTCCTATTTATAATTTTATAATAGGAATGTAAAAAGGAAAGTGGTTAACTAATATAGGTAGGATGTGATGTTATTCACCTTATATTCATATATTTTTTATTCTCTATTTTATTATTATTGAATGAGCCAGGAATGAATTGAAAAAGAAATCTTTACTGGTTCTACCTCCTATTTTTGGTGAAGAGAATGAATCTTTTTCTCGGAGAATTAGGAAAAAATAATTTTATTTTTAATGTCGATGTCACGACCCAAATCGGGTCGTGACTGGCACCCACACTTACCCTCCTGTGTGAGCGAACCAACCAAATCTAAACCTTAACATTTTAATGTACTATCAACATAAAGTAATGCGGAAGATTTAAACTCATTTATAAAAACCAATTCAATAACTATTATTTCCCAAAATCTGGAAGTCATCATCACAAGAACATCTACTTCAAATTACTAAATCTAAGAGTTTACTACGAATATCGTAAGAGAAACCATAACCTACCTCCACCGAAGACTAGTGATCAAGCAAGAATTTCCCAAAGCCTTGTGTTTTTCCTCTTCGTTCGTCTCTCTCTATCGATTCTCCTTCTCTCTCTTTCTGTTCTTTTCTTTTTCTTATTCAAACCCTCTTTCTTTTACCCTAATTAGCATATAATTAAGAATAAAAGATGGCAATAATAACCCACTAATTTACTCAAGGTTACCTCTTTTAACCATCAAGTAATTAGACTTATTAACATAAACCCACTAACTTTATAATTAAAGTAGGAATAGTCCAAAACGTCCCTTAAAACGTGTAAAGAAATCCGACCCAGACTGGGATTACGCAACCTGTGACGGCCCGTCGTGCCTGCGACGGTCCGTCCTGCAGGTCGTCGCAAGGTTCAGAGACTCAATTTCCACCAAAGAGTCTGTGACGGTCCGTCCTGCCATTCCATTACGAAGTTCAGAGAGTCGATTTTCAGTATCCAATTTCAGAATTTCTAAGTGTTTTGAAACGAGACCCCTCGACGGTCCGTCGTGCTCATGACGGTCCGTCGTGGGTTCTGTCGTCCCTGCCTGTTTTTCCAGAAATAAAATCTGCTGCTCAAAACGACTAAACAGGTCGTTACATTAGATACCAATTTACCCATCGTTCGTCCCCGAACGATCACAAGAAGGAAAACAAGGGCGAAAAGGAGTACCTGAATCTGTAAACAGGTGTGGGTATCTTTCTCGCATATCAGCCTCTTTCTCCCAAGTGACTTCTTCGACTGGTCGATTCTTCCATTGAACTTTGATGGATGCAATCTCCCTTGATCTCAACTTGTGAATTTCTCTATCTAAAATAGCAACAAGCTTCTCCTCATAAGACAAATTCTCATCAAGCAAAACGAAATCCCAACGGATGATGTAGTTTCCATCCCCATGGTATCTTTTTAACATCGATACATGGAATACCGGATGTACTCCGGACAGCCCTGGAGGCAAGGCTAACTCATAAGCCACCTCCCCTACTCGCTTAAGTACTTCAAAGGGACCAATGTACCTTTGGCTTAGCTTGCCTCTTTTACCAAACCGCATCACCCCTTTCATTGGCGAAACTTTCAACAAGACTTGTTCACCCTCCATGAACTCTAGGTCTCTAACCTTTCGATCTGCATATTCTTTTTGCCTACTTTGCGCCGCTAGAAGCTTTTCTTGAATAGATTTCACTTTATCTAATGATTCCCTCAGAAGGTCAGTACCCCAAGGTCTAACCTCGAATGCATCAAACCAACCAATGGGGGACCTACATCTCCTACCATACAATGCTTCAAATGGAGCCATATCAATGCTTGAGTGATAGCTATTATTGTATGAAAACTCCGCTAAGGGTAAGAAGTTATCCCAATGGCCACCAAATTCTATCCACACGCACGAAGCATATCCTCCAACACTTGAATCGTTCGCTCAGACTGACCATCGGCCTAAGGATGGAACGCAGTACTAAGGTCCAACCTAGTACCCAATTCCGCATGCAATGTTTTCCAAAACTTAGAAGTAAACTGCGTACCTCTATCTGATATGATGGAGAGTGGAACCCCATGTAACCGAACAATTTCTGAGATATAGATTTTGGCTAACTTCTCTGCATTGTAAGTCACCTTAACCGGAATAAAATGAGCAGACTTAGTTAACCTATCAACAATCACCCTTTACTAACCATTTTCTTAGCACGAAGAAAGGAGATGATACGCGCCGGTTTGGAAGTGTAGTCACTCTCCCACACTAACGGATCTGTCCCAGGCTTGGCTAACGTCACCGTTTTAGCATTACAATCCAAGATCGCAAATTGCGGAGAAAGCCAAGTCATACCCAGAATTACATCGAAGTCAACCATTTCTTGAAAGGATTTTGCCGTAGCCACTACCGGTAAGGCCGAAATCCGCAATTCTGACCTCAACCCCTTCACAAAACGGCGAATCCGCTCTTGTGGACTGAAACAAAGTTGGGTGGCATACCTCTGCTCAAAACGACTAAACAGGTCGTTACAGTCGAGCTATCAACTATCTCCTACAAAACTTATTGAGTTCTATTGCTTATTTCTTCAAAATTTCAAGAAGTACAACAAGCCAACGTAATATTGAAGGAACGCAACATCATTTTGATATCTTTATATCAATTTATAATTCTTGAATCGGATTTTATTATTCTAACATTATTTTGTAGTTGTTCTTTATAAAAAATTAATGTTAATATTCTTAGTTCATCAGTATCTATATTCTTATTGTAGTTATTATTAACATTTATTCAATTTAAATATATCAATTAGAAAAAAGAAAACTTGAAGATTTAAACAAATTACCAGAAGTCGTCCTAAATAGAATTTTAACAAACAATAAAAATTTCTAATCGAAGAATATGAGAAGATGTTCTTTAAATAAACAAGTCACTTGAGTTAGATGACAAGAACATCCAAAAAGAAAATGTAAAAGAAATTGAGAAAAACTAAAATTTACTTTAATTATTAATCACCACATTAAAATTCTTTTATTATTATTGACTGCATGAATTATCCCTTTGTTATAATTCCACTAGCATTGTAACCCATACTGGCCATGCTTCATGCTTGAGAAAGTGACCTTTTTTAATAGAAGAAAATAATTGTTCTTGTCTTAAATGCAAGAAAAAAAGCAATGAAAGTAACACAATGCCTAATAAAGAAATAATGAATTAATGTAGCCAAATAACAATAATAAATTTAGTAAAATTTTATAAAAGAAATCTAAAAAGAATACTGTTAATTGTATAAGCAACCTTAAAAATATTATTTTTAATAGACTCTCGGCTCAAGTAAAGCCGATAATGCAGCCAAATGTTTTCTAATATACCATAATATTTAGGGAAAATTGTATAAAATAGCAAACTAATAACCTAAATTAAATAGAATAGCTAGGATTTAATTTAATTGTGCTCCATAGCAAACATTATCTATAATTCTGTTTCTGTTTTGTATAAAGCGAGAGAAAATTGTATATACACATGCAAAAATTTATATCTTCGTGTTATACACTTAATTATACAATTTACAAACATTTTACTTCAAAAATTGCAGAGAAAAAGGCCAACGAATTATACAATTGCGAATTATACAATTGCAGTGAAATACAATTTTCTCTAGTTTTATACAACAGAAGTGTATATATTGTGTTTCTGTTTTTGTATAAAGCGAGAAAAACATATATCTTTTTGCTATAAACTTATAATTATGCAATATACATACATTTTAATTCAATTCAACTATGTGCAAAGCAAATTATACAATTGCAGCGAAATAGGCCAGCGAATTATACAATTTAGGCCAGCGAATTATACACTTGTATATGTATAGCAAATTATACAGTTTTTATGTTTGCTATGGAGCGCAATTATGCAAAGTTTGCTATATTATACAAATATATATTTTTTGTTTGCTATATGTGAAAGTTGCCCTAATATTTATTGTGACAGACAACTAAGTTTGTAAGTAAATAAATATTAGAAAATATACCATTATGATACTTCTCAAGCTACTATTTGTTGGGCCGTCGCACATTTGTTGGCCCAAAGGTCCATATTGTCTAATCATGTTCTCTTTGAAGTTTGGGGAAAATTATGCAAAAACAACAAATATTTAGTCTATAGATATTATAATTACAAGTTAAGAAAATTATAATGCGTGGCTATAATCTCTTCATATAATTTGTATAAATTCAGAATTTGTATGATTTGATTTTTGATTGTATAAATTCAGAACTTTGTATATGTTTACCCTAGTTATTTGTATACGGTTATGAAAATTTCATAATAAATTACCTTGTTTGCATATTGGCAAGTAAAATACACAAACATAGTTCTGAAAAATTCCTCAACAAATAAATAAAAAAAATTATTTACTTAGTCTATTTGTATATTCTCAAGCAAAATATATAAAGGGACAGAAATATACAAACAATAGCCTCTATAGCAAACAGAAACATAATTATGGCGCGCAATAATCAAAACTATAGTTAAAAGCCTTATTATATCTATTAGGTTTGCTATATCTGAAACTATTTTTCTTTTAAGTTTTGATTCCAAATTGAAACTGGTTTGATGAATTGGCCCTCTATACAATTTTTAGATTAAATTGGTATGTTTTAGCCATATAAATATTTATCT